AAAGCAGTGACATTACATAGAAGAAGAAACTCTATATTCCAAAATTGAATTATTACTTTTCAAGTAATTATATATATGAATTTGGGTGTCAATTTTTTAATTAGTTAATTAAAACAAAGAAATTAGTTGTTTGTCGGAATATAATGGTTGTTGATGACAATTGTTATACATAATTTAAGAAGCGGGTAGATTGCCGAAAATGAAAAGAGAACCCCATAAACGATTCAGATTGGAAACAAGTGTAGTCTAGGGATATTCAAAAATATCTACCAGCATTGATTCAATTTAGAAAAACATAGGCAAGGGGTACAGTTAAGAATCGGCAATTAATAGAAAGGTGTTGAATGCATTCATTCTTAACTTAATTTCAAGATCCTCCAGAATGCTTAGAAAAAATGACAAGAACATAACAAAAAAAAGGTTTAGCTGAGGTAAACAATTATTGTTAAATATATACATATATCGATTGCAAGGAGATATCATATATGCCGCATGTAGTAAACATATTAAAGCTTTGTTCTATGTGAGAGAAGCATTCAAATAGATGTGGAAGTATGTGGGCATATTTAGGCATTTATGCCGACGGCTCGCAATCAGGCTACATTTACTTTTATGACATTCGATTATGTTCTGCCCCATTTGGTCTTTGACCACCAAAGGTAAGGTCAAGAAACTTGGGGCACAGCACACAAATTATAGCAATCAGAAAAGGCAGACGCAATGGCATGAAAACAATAGTCGGGGCGTTGCGTCATTTCCGGTTTGGGGTGGTCGCAGGCAGCTAAGGTGTTGAATGCGAATGCGAAATGTATTTGGTGGTGTATGTGTGTGTATTTGTGTGTAAATATATTTTTGGCAGCACATGGAAATGAGTGCTTGCGGGCACTTAAGCGCCCCAACCGCTGCATCACTTATTAAGACAGCAAAGGCGGCGATAAACTGAAATTATTTTTATATGTCGGCAGCAAGACGAAAAAGCAACAGTGGATACGAGCATGTGTGTACACACATGTGTGTCAGTATGTACTTATGTATGTATGTAGGTTTGCATATAACCAACCATTGCAATGGTCGTAAGTCACAAGCTGTTTGGAGTGAGCAAACAATTGCTTGACTTGTGGGATTAATTTCAGCACAAAACCAGACGCGAAAGCACTCGCCACATTGCCATCGATTTTTGTCAATGGGAGGCGAGAGTTTGTATGTTACTTCTCGAAAATTCCTCGTTCGCCTTTTTTTATTTTAATGTCATTTAATGGGCGACAATGGCACAACAGCGGACATTAACAACAATCAAACATTGTATGGTGCACAAATAGGAGTATATGTCGTATATCTGTCTGCGTGTCCAAACATATTATTGTACATACAAGTATGTAAGTGTTTGAAAGTCCGTGTGTCTGTTGTCCTGACAACGTCGGGCAAAACAACTACAACAAAGGACAAAGCCTTTCCAATCCAACTTTTTAGCCATGTGTGCCTAAAATGCGTTCCCTGTTAATTTTGTATTAATACTTTTGTTGTGTTCCGTTTATGAGCCAATTGACATAAAATCTGGCGACACACTATACCCGACCTACTTAATTAAAACTATAAAATTATATTAATTTCCTAATAACTAAATCTATTTAATAACAGGGATAGCAAAAGTCTGTTAAAATTAATGAACCAACTTTGTTAAGTTCTTATGAAAATAAACTGATTTTTGCTCTGACATGCATTATTAATATTCGTTGCCACTCAAGAAATACTACGTTTAGAAACTTACAAGTAATTTGTTGCTTCAGGCTGGGCTTCTGACCTCATAAATTTGTTTCGGGTAATTGACTTTTGCTCATCTTGAGTCTCCTACCAATTTGCAGGAAATGAACAAATTTTGGGGTTCCATGAGCTTTTCCATTTAATGGGAATTATGCTGCATGACTTTTTGTAATTATGTAACCGTCGAAATCTGACAACAGGTAATCGAACAAACTAATATTGGGTTGAACACCTGGCAACCGATTCATTGTTTCTATTGCCTTACGAGTATGTTGTTAACTACAAAGGAGGCCCCGTCGAGGGGACAGCAACCACATAAATAAGGGCAATAACAATTGGGGCACCTGGGGGCGGCAAGTGAAGATGCAATAAGCCACCAGTAAGGCAACAGTAGACGAGAACCGGCAACAATGCTGACAGCTTTTCAACGAACCAAGTGTTCACGGGGCGATGGGTAGTAGAAATTGGTAGACACCCACACCATGTTAGCCCGCAAGTTTTGGAGGTTGAGTTTCGATTTATTTCGAAGCCGTTGCCAAGGGAACAGTCAAGCCGTAACGCTAAGTTCGCGGCCGGTCGAAGAAAAATAAAACCACCAGGTTACTGACAAACAAGCAGGAGGAACACAAAGCACCTTTAAAAATAAAGCGAAAAAAAGGCGTTTAATATTCACCAGCACACTAGTTTTCGGTGTTATTCGATTGGTTTACCAGCCTGCGACTAACTACACTTCATTTTCCACTGCAACTATTGGCTTATTGTTTTAGTGGCTTTTGATGGTGTGTTTCTTACATTTTTGTTCGCTTCGCTGCACCTGTCCTTCTTTCGTTAAAGCTCTATTTTGGGCCCCTACATCCATACTTTAAGAAAGGTGCACTTTTATTGGAGAACTTAAACATTCATTAAAATCTTCAAATAGTAATATTATTAGCAAAAGAACTTTAACCTTGATCTTTAGCTCTAGAGCACTGCATAACGCAGAAACACAAAGAAAATAAATGAACAATTTGTAATAGAAAACTTATCAGTAATTATTTATATTATACATTGTGTAGAAACTTATCAGTAATTATTTCTATTATACATTCCTCTGTACATACATATGTATACTTGTACGTACATTCAGAAAAAAGCAACTATAAATTCTAGACTGATTTGGCTTGAATTGCGGCAATGTTATTCATCTTATTATTGAATAGAATTAGTGGATCGAAAAATGTCAATATTTATAAATACAATCGAAAATGGAAAATGACTTTCCATAAAAATACACCTAATTTCGTTTTTACAAGGTAGATTGGTTCCAGAAAAAACCGTGTAAGAAATGACATTGATGATATGCAAAAATAGAGAATTTGTTTCGCTAGAAACTTTTCTTAGAATTAACCGATTTATATTAAATTTGAAACAAAAGTAGATTATTATGTATAAATTTGGTGTGCAAGGTTTGGTTTAGGTTGCTTTTGAAATGTGGACGGTATTGACGAAATTCTGTAGGAAGGGGGAAGGGGGGGGGAGGGGAATTAAAAAAAATAAAATAAACTCGTCCTTCCTCGGATCAAGGAGAATTTGGATATCAAATTTGGTTATTCTAGCTTTTATAGTTTTTGACATCCATGCGTTCATCCAGACGGACGGACAGACAGACGGACGGACGGACATGTCTGGATCGATTAAAGAAATCGTCATCCTGATTCAGAATATATATACTCTATGGGGTCGGAGATGCTTCCTTCTGCATGTTATATACTGTGCACAACCCTAATATACCCTTTTTACCCTACGGGTACAGGGTATAAAATAAAATGTTATTCAATTTTAAGGGTAAAAAATATTTTAAAAAAAATTTAAATTAAAATCATAAATTGAGGAACTTAAATTTAATTGCTGTCATCATCAGATACTCGATTTCGCATGTTTCGAATGCGTATAAAATAACTATTATCGCTGGAATAATCTTGAAGTGAACTCTCTTTTGCTCGTTCGTCATCTACATTTATAACACTGAACTCTGTTATGAGCCGTTGTTGGCCAATTGTTCCTACCTGTTTGTTTAATTCTTTGTAACGACCCATACAAGAATAGTTTCTAGCTGTTTGTCAGCTGTGTGTGTTTTAATTTATTTGTGTTGTTTTAAATCGTGTAACCAACTTGAAAATTTTTTATTTTCAAATCGTGTTAAAACAAAATCGTGTAAGAAAAGGCCATGTAGAAATATAATTAGGTATATGAGATATCATCATTGAAAACAATGGACATAAAGTGGATGACAAAAAAAATTGTTGATAAGCATTTAAGAAAGAATCCTTAACTCGAAGGAAACCCGTTTTATATAATCATGTTTTTTGTAAAGAACAAAACATATTTAAATCGGTTAAACTTAAAAATATTCTTTAATTTAGGAATTTGTATTGAGTCCGTTTGTACTTTGTTTTAGAAAGAACATCCTTGATTTTTTTGAGTGCTAACGAAAGTCTATGAAGATAAGCATTATAAACGTTTAATAAAGCTGAGTCTTAAATGTTAGGTTTATTCGAGAATTGGACGTTAAACAGTTCGGTCTACTGCTGACTTGTAGAATATGCATTTAATAGCATCATGTGTGTTTTTATACCCTGTACCCGTAGGGTAAAAAGGGTATATTAGGTTAGTGCAAAGTATGTAACATACAGAAGGAAGCATCTCCGACCCCATAAAGTATATATATTCTTGATCAGCATGACGAGAGAAATCGATCTAGACATGTCCGTCCGTCTGTCCGTCCGTCTGGATGAACGCGAGGATCTCAGAAACTATAAAAGCTAGAATAACCAAAGTTGGCATCCAGATTCTCCTAAGTCCGAGTAAGGACGAGTTTATTTTATTTTTTTGGATTTTCCCCCCCTCCCCCCGCTACAGAATTTCGTCAATAGCGTCTACATTTCAAATGCTACCTAAACCAAACTTTGCACACATAATTTATATATAATTGTCTACTGTTGTTTAAAATTTTATTTAATTCTGTCGATTATAAGAAAAGTTATTAGCGAAACAAATTCTCGCCAGTACAATCCCCCCAAACTGCAGCAACAAGTTCGCTCTTCTTCTTCCTCTTTTTGCTGCTGCTATGGGCGCATATAACTCAGTGACGGAAGTTTACATGGGTACAGGGTATTACACTGTCAGGCTTGCTCGACTGTAGCGTTCTCTCTTGTTAATGACTGTTTTTTTTACAACTAATGCCGAATTTGAATCAAATAATGGATCTTTGGACATTTATGAAGTAAGTATACTTGTAGTAATAATGTTTATGACACATTGCATAAATAAATGTAAATGATTGCAGGGAAGAAACGAAACGGAGGATCTATTTTCATATGTTGATAGTTTAATAGATCGGTATGAAAAACATTTCCACTATACTTGTATACCTTCTAAAAACTTTCAGAGTAAAAGCACTTTAAATTAATCCAAATGGTTTTTTGTTCACTCCATAGCTTGGAGCAACGCAAAAATAAGTTACAAAATATGAAAGAAGATATTCAAAATGGTAATGTTACAAATAAGCCTTGTTCTAAACTCAAAAAGAGTCTTTGCCCTTGTTTCAGAGGCCGATGATACAAACTCGTATCCCTCATCTTGTTTGGGCATAAGTATGGACAGAAAAGTTTTCAACTTTACTGTAAAAGTTCCGGGTCTTAGTCCTTTCCCAGTAATGTGTAACTCCGAGATAGCTGGAAATGGTTGGCTGGTTATACAAAGGCGTAAGGATGGCAGTGTAAACTTTTACCGGGACTGGAACGATTATAAAAACGGCTTCGGGCAACTAGATGGCGAATTTTTCATCGGCTTGGACAAATTGCATGCTCTTACAGCATCTCAACCATTCGAACTCTATGTTCAAATGGAAAGTATAAAAGGCATCAAAAAATATGCCCGATATGATGATTTTGCAATCGGTAATGAGTCTGAGTTGTATGCTCTGAATGTGCTAGGTAACTATTCTGGTACTGCTGGTGATTCCATGGAATATCATAAAGGGCAAAAATTTTCAACATTTGATAGAGATTATGATATGCATGGCAAAAAGAATTGTGCTGAGTTTTATGTTGGTGCTTGGTGGTATAAAAAGTGTCATTATAGGTATGTATATATTAATGACGTAATATATATATTTGGATAAAGATTGTTTCATTCAAATTTTAATATTTTTCAGCAATCTTAATGGACAATATATGTATCATGGACGACCATATGCCAAACCGCATGAAGTCAGATATATTTGTTGGTCCACATTTGAGGACTATAGGATGTTAAAATCTACACAGATGATGATTCGCCCTAAATTTGGGTGCGGTGGTTATGAGACCTCAAATTCAAATTTTTAAACACCGAAATAATTTGGTAGTCAACCGCAAATCGTACCGTCCTTCGACTACAATAGTAAAACAACAAAAATAGTAAACGTGTATTTGCAATCCAAACAATTACTCTAACATCCCACATCATATAAATGTTAAAATCTGCCTCTGAACAGATTTTTATTAAACAGTCCATAGGACAGTTGCTCGAAAAAATCAAATTAGAAATTGGTGATAAAAATAAAAATGATAAATAAAAAATTTAAAATATACTCCCATGTACTTAGATACAAATATAAAAATTTGCACAGTAAAGAAATTGATGCCGGCATTAGTAGTATATATTATATAAAATGCTTGTAAGTAACAATATTATTTAATGTATGTATAATAAGTGGAGGACAAAATTTGGCACCTACCTGTTGTTCCATTTTCTGATTGCGACTGCTAATTGCAGACATTGCGATGCTATTTATTATTGCTATTATTGTACGCTTTAAGCTTTCGTTGTAAACTGAATTTTACATTCAATTGTTGTTCTTATTAACGCTGCTATTAGAAATTGTTGCACACAAGTTTCGAATACTTCCGATATTTGTGTGTACTCGTAGCACTTTTTGTAACTATGCACAAAACTGCGAAGTAACAACGATTTGAAAATATGCATATATGTATGTACGTGTGTAGTATGTACATACACTGGTCGGCACAATTATTTTGACGAACTGTACTCACGACTATCGGTGCTGGTTGCTTTTAGTTTCAAGGAATAACGGTACAATTTTCATACGGGATATTGAGTTCATAGCAACAACAATATGTAGGCAAAATATTTTGTCTATTACTCTTCACACCTTTTTTCTACAAATGACAATGTGAGTTGACTGCGGATTCAGGCACGGCATAAGTATTTTGACCAAACCTTGTCGCCGTTTTCGCGTACGTTTTATCAAGTGATACTAAAATAACTTTGGTGTAACAATTTTTGTTGACCTTTTTACATTATTTTCATTAAAATTTGATTCAAAAGTAATCGATACAATGGTAAAAAAGACAGAATTAAGTTATGTTGTTAGAGCCTCAATAGTGGCGAAGTTTAATGCCGGCGTAGCACCAAAAGACATTGCAAATGAATATAATTTGTCGCGGCAAACAGTCCACTATCAAATTAACAAATATAAGACCCACAATGACGTCAAAAACTTGCCTAGATCAGGTGCTAACCGCAAAACAACACCCATTGAAGATCGAGTCCTATTGCGGGAATTTAAAAAAAATATTCATTTAAAGCCGCAAGCTGCTGCAGATCAATGGAATAAGTCGACCAAGACTCCAATCAGTGAGCGTACTGTTCGGCGACGCCTAAAAGAAGAAGATTTTAAGACATACAAAGCGAAGGACATACCTTACATATCAAAGGTGAACAAGCTCAAAAGATTGGCTTTTGCAAAGGAGCATCTGCATAAGCCAAAAGAGTTTTGGAGAAGCGTTCTATGGACAGATGAAAGCTCCTTTGAATATAATTCATCAAAAACAAAGATTTTTGTAAGGCTCCCACAGTTTCAAAGACAAAAAAATATCCCCGTATGTCAAAAAGTGAGCCATGGCGGAGGCTCAGTCATGTTCTGGGGATGCATTGCGTACAATGGGTTAGGTGATTTCGTTCCCATCACCGGCTCAATGAACCAGCAACAATATTTGAGTACCCTTAACGAAAACGCATTCCCTTCCGGTGACAGGCTGATTGGAGAATCATTTATCCTGCAACAGGATAACGCCCCATGCCACAAAAGCAAAATGATAAGAGCATTTTTAAGCGATGTTGGTGTTACTACTCTGGATTGGCCACCACAAAGTCCGGACTTAAACGTTATTGAGAATGTGTGGTCTCTTGTAAAACGTAAAAGAAATGCGTCTTTGCATAAAACCGAAGAAGAAACTATTTCCGAGGTCACTTCTCTTTGGAAAGAGATACCATTAGAGGTCCTTCAAAATTTAGTGGACTCAGTTCCAAGACGTCTTCAAAAAGTTATCGAAGCCAAAGGCGGGTATACATTTTATTAATCTACCATCAATTTCTTATGTTTTGTTTAGTATTAAGCTTTGTTTTTTTTGTTAATATCCATTGTCAAAATACTTATGCCAACCCATGAAAATTACCTTGATTTATAATTTTAAAAGTTCTTATAAAAATATATCCTTTGAATTATTTTTAAGTTTGTAATACCAATATGGAATTGAGAAAAAAAGTTTCCTTTGATATCTTAAACCAATAACCAGTTATTGACAAAAATGTATGATTTTCTTCTCGTCAAAATAATTGTGCCGACCAGTGTAGGTACGGGTAGATATTAAATAATCAAACTTGTAGTGCAATATGTGCCAAACAAATGTATGTATGTTCACACATAAATACTTGTATGTACATACTACATCCACAAATTATTTAGCCACGTATGTATGTACGAGTGTGTTTCGGGCAGCTGTTGTGCAAATGTTGAAATGAAAGGAAATTGATGTGGAAAGCAAAAGAATGCAGCAAAACAATAACAGAAAGTACATAGAACCACGAAATGCATCTGGCAGGGTGCCGCAAACAAACATAAAGAAGGGAAGGTTGAAACGCGTGCACACCAATCACACACACGACAAAGTTTTAGCTACACGGGGCACATAGGATAACATGGATATGAAAGTCGAGTTTTACTATCAAATTCAGTATTTTCGTTTAATTTGTGATCGCTGATTCAATTTCTTCGTATTTACAGCGCCACGCACATTGTACAGTTTTGCGAAAAGAGTTTCACAAGCCGGTGCGAACAAAAAACACGCGGCTTCGCAGCACCTCAAACATTCAAAGACAGTCGATTCGCGCGCCTTTGGCAGTGACGTCTAAACGAGTTTCGTTCCGACCGTCTATGTCGTCCGCACGCACGCCTTTCAAAACAACAACTGGTCGTTTTTCGGCGGAGGCAATACTCGTAAAACTGAAACAGAATGGAAGTGGAACAGACAAACAGGCGACCGCACACTTACGATTAAAGGGGCGCTCGGCTGCGTCCTGTCGAGAGGCGAATCCAAATGGCAAGTTAGCCGCGCTCTCTCAATTTGCGCTCGTAAGTCAGCACTTTTCGTGCTCAGGGGTTGGTAAAATATATCTTTTGCGCTCTCTTTCTGCGCTTGGCAGATGTGTCGCCGGTCCAATCACCGGTAAAACTCGTAATTTCTGTCTTCCTTTCGTCGCACGCATTTAGCGCCAAAGTGGATTTGAGATCCCTCCTTTAAGACAGACGTGCATTGGTTTATAAATCATATGAACATATGTTTAAAACACACATATGTCTACATACATATGTATGTCTTTGTGACCAAATGCGACCAAAGCAACGAACATTTTAATATACATTTTAATATAGTTGTGCACTTCAAATGTTTAGTTTTATTATTAAGATTAAAAATCTAAATACTAATTAGGCCTACTCGTATTAATTCGTATTAAAATTTGTAATAACGTATTTGTTGGTTATATTTCACTTGCAAATTTATGAAAAATCTCAAAGGAATGCTAGAGTCGAGTGGGCTCAAATCTTAAATACCCTATACCCACTACCACAAAATAATTTTTTTTTAAATTGTTGTAGCTATTTTTTTTTTTAAATAAACTGTTTAATTTAAATTTAACAAGAGAGAACGCTACAGTCGAGCAAGCCCGACAGTGTAATACCCTGTACCCAGGTAAACTTCCGTCACTGAGTTATATGCGCCCATAGCAGCAACAAAAAGAGGAAGAAGAAGAGCGAACTTGTTGCTGCAGTTTGTGGGGGTTGTACTGGCGAGAATTTGTTTTGCTAATAACTTTTCTTAGAATTGACCGAATTGAATAAAACATTTGAACAACAGTAGACAATTATATATAAATTATGTGTGCAAAGTTTGGTTTAGATAGCATTTGAAATGTGGACGCTATTGGATAAATTCTGTAGCGGGGGAAGGGGGGGAAAATTAAAAAAAAAAAAATAAACTCGTCCTTACTCGGACCTAGGAGAATCTGGATGCCAACTTTGGTTATTCTAGCTTTTATAGTTTCTGAGATCCTCGCGTTCATCCAGACGGACGGACAGACGGACAGACGGACGGACAGACGGACGGACATGTCTAGATCGATTTCTCTCGTCATGCTGATTCAGAATATATATACTTTATGGGGTCGGAGATGCTTCCTTCTGTATGTTACATACATACTTTGCACAAACCTAATATACCCTTTTTACCCTATGGGTACAGGGTATAAAAATACTCAACACGTACATAGAGTTGTAGAATTGCAATAGAATACAACTCGTCTTCTCTTGCTGATCAAGAATATTCACATACATACGCACAAAACTAGTATAACCTTTTACACTTTGGATAAAGGGTATAAAGATAAGACCATATTTGTTCCAAACAAGAAATACAAAAAATAATATTAATAATTTGGCAACTCAATTCCTTTACCTTTTTAATGAACACCTCAGATGTTCTATGCAAATATTCTTTTGTCCTACAATCAGAGAAATTTTCTAGTATTTTTTATACAAGTTTTATTTTAAATTTAAATTTACATTCTTGGTATACATGGATATATGGTAAATATATTGCTATTGAATATACTTTAAAGATTATATTATTCAAATTTGGTCTAGGATGGGAATATATAGTATACTATACATAAGTATAAAAATATCTCTTAGAAAACCAAGTTTTTCGTTTAGGAACATTTTAAATTATATTTGTAATACAGATATTTTACTTACAACAACCTACATTTTAATATAATTATAATTGATAAAACTATGGTAAACTGTATATAAGTAACCTTGAACTACATAATTAAAATATTCCAGAGAAAACTAAATGTAGTAGGAATTGAACTGCTGACAAATTAATTAATTGTATGTAAAAATGTTGCAAATAAGAAGATACTAAGAATACTATGTTGGCACTCCTTTGTGTATAAGCCTGACTTTAATCTAACCTTCCCCAGATGCGTTCTCCTTTTGACGACTTGTGTGGGACATTGAAGCCTGTTCTTCAGATAAGTTGTCCTGTGATCGCTCCAGTTCATTTCTGCTGCGAATTCGGCCAATAATCTTTGCCTTGGCCCGATAATATGCGGCTTTTATATGCTCTGAGAGAACGTCGAGAAACATTGCTATAAGAATCATTCCAAAAATGAAATAAATGATGCTTAACACTTTGTAGATTGGTTCTTTTAGTGGCGACTTTCCGTGAGAAATAGAGAAAATTGCAGTAAAAGTAGTATAAATTGATCTCTCAAAACTAATATCATTGAGCAAAGACAATAGTGTAGCGCCACATAATATGTAGGCCATGACCATAAAGGCGGCCACTGATATTGGAAGACTGTTATCGCAATCGTTAAAATATCCTGACCGTTCTTCCTTATCAGTCCCTTCCTGTTGAACATTACAGTGGCAAGCACGTACAAAGAAATCCCAAAGACGATGCAAATAGATCCATATAAGCTTCAGGATACGTGTGAAAAGTCTACCCATATCCGTCAATAAAATTAAGTACAATGGTATTCCAAAAATAGCGTAAACGATGGTCAGCATACGTCCAAGTGTTGTTTTAGGAACCATCGAGCCATAGCCTGCAAAAAAGAGTCATACACTTAGTTACTACAAATATGACAAGTGATGATATTATTAATTAATAAACGAGGAAAAATCAGTTCCGAAACCATGCAATTAGTGTTTAAGTAAATATATATTTCATGCAACATTTCTAATACATGTATGTGTTATGTTGTTAAATAAAAAGACGAAAAAAAGTAAAACCAAGATAAATATATAAAAATAAATACCTTTACTATATGTTGGAATTCGGATTCAATAATTGTACAATAACTGTAATATTATTAGGGAATCAGGCCCATGACACAGATAAGACAGTTAGGACAAGAAAGTAGAAGATGTTTCTAAAAAATTACCGTAGTTTGACAACAAAATCATCTCCAAAATATCCATATGCTGCATCAAGATCTAGCAGTCCTATCGCAGTCATGATGCGACAGTTTTTATAAAAAATTAACAATTCTGCAAATAGGGTCTTATTCTGATAAAATTGAATAGAAGAAAAACAACTAGTAAGTAAGAGTATATACATTTAGGTATATTATAAATAAAAACAAAAGTAATTTCAATGTATTGTCATTTGTGAGTTTGCCTTTAAGGGGAGTATTTTAATCTATCGAGTTCCGAAATCGTAGTCTATTTAAATAATCCACGTTTCTTCTTCTTCTTCTGTGCCTCAGCTGGCTGCTGAGCATCGACTGAGACCTGACGCTTGGGCAGCAAAGGCGGCGGTGTGCCATCAGATTGAATTCCACCAGTCTCCGCCACAGATGTGGGAGACACTGGACGGGGCGAACGCAAGATCGACGTCAATTGTGCGGATGCGGGTGAAGCAGCATTAGGGAGCGGCTCGTGGCCGTCTTCGTCGATACGATCCAAGCGTGATCCGTGCACCGAAGCCAGCTCCGATGGCGTCTTGATCTGCGATCCCATTTCATCATCAAATTCGCTGGCCATCTCCATTCCAATTGTCGCCCCCACTTTGGCGCTGGCGCGATTAAAGTGATCGTGAAGCTTTATTTGGACCACATTGATGAACATAGATGTCAGGGCGAGCCCGAAAATGAGATAAATCATGCTGATCATGACAAAGAGCGGATTACTGGGGACCAAGTCGCCGAATCCGATGGTCGACATTGATATGAATACAAAGTAGAACGCATCCGAATACTCCCAGTCGCTCTGAAGCAGCTTATAGCCTACGGCGCCACACAGTATGTAGGAGATGAGTAGCATTGTCGCCACAGAAATAGGCAAGTTGAATTCGTCGTCCACTTCAAAGGTCTCCGGATATGGTGATGTGGGTGTTTCGGGATGGGAGGTGCCCAGCGATTTTCCGGCTTCGGCATCCTGCTGCGACTCGACTTCCGCGTTCGCAGACATGCCAAAGAACATGCTCGGCCGGCGAATGGCCATATCGTATACCGTGGTGAAGCCGGTCATGGCGTCTCGAATCTGCTGTTGCTTGCGTATCCTCCTGCAGGATCGTGTGTAGTAAACCCGCCGCACATACGCCCAAATGAACTTGACACAGCGCGTAAAGAGTTTGCCCAAATCGGCTAGCACGATGAGGAACATCGGTATTCCGATGATGGCATACACGATGGTCAACGAACGGCCGAGCGTTGTCTTCGGTGTGATGTGACCGTAACCTGAAAAGAATTAAGGATTCGATTTTTTACATGGCACTTGTACAGGAACAGGTTAAAATGAAAAAATTGTAGCAAAAATTTTGAGCAAGCAGATTATTTCTAACCGAATTATTTTGAACCGATTTCACATATGTATTTTACCTATAGTTGTGATCACGGACCAGCAAAATATGAAACAGTTCACAAAGTTCCACGACTTTTGGCCAGGAAATCGGCGCAGACCCAATTCGGCTAGCGTATTAAGTTCGTCTTCGAACTTACGTAACTTCTGGCGCGCCACGGATTTCCAGTCATCCTCTCTGGCAACAAGTAAGAATTGTAAATTTCAAAAACCGATAACCATGTCTACCAGAAATCTACCTCATGTTATGACTGCCCGCCCAGAGATTGTCAATAAAGTCGCGCTTCACTTTGCGCACCTCACACTTGTAGATGTTTTCGGAAGTGCCTTCGGTGTAGCGGAACATCAGGCCCCCAAAGCCGAGCAACAATATCAGCAATATAATGTGACTTATGCACTTATTGCGTAATCGTCTTGTCTCCGCCACAACCTGAGGATAGTCCAGTTTGAGGCGCCGCCACTCATGACACGCTTCGAGACGTAGGCGCCTTAGAAATGCTATTGAGTTAATCCTGTCCGGCAATGCGGTGGTTAACTCATCTGTTGCAGTTCCAGTTCCAGTTGCAATTACAAGTTCAGGCGCTATTTTATTCCTTTTCAGTTGAAAAAGATTCCCTATCCGCTGTAATGCTGATGGCTTTGTCGTTGATTCAGAGACAGTGGACGCCACCTCATCATCCACATGTTTGTCATTTTCAACTATTGGGGTCTGCGGGGTTGCGGCTGTTGCTGCTGCTTTCTCCAACTCCGTAGGTGGCTCCAAATTGGACTCTGTTTTGGAGTTAATCGGTCGCTCTAAGCTTGTGCTACGTTTGTTCTCGGGCTTGATCTTCTGCCCCTGATCTGTTGTTCGCAGACTGTTGCTGCGTCGTAAGCCATCCGAGCCCACATTTAGGCTTAGAGCGAGTGCCGCCTCGGCCGCTGCCGCCCGCTCCGCCGCTTCCATATACTTGCGCATTAGTTCGGCCCGCTGTTCGGCCTCACTCTGCCGCACTGCGGAGTCCAGTTGTCCCGTACCGCTCTCGCCCACCTCGACGTACTTGAGCGCTGTTTCGGCACGTTGTTCCGGAGTTTTGGAGCGTCGTTGTGGCCGTATCGGAGAGAGCGAGCTATTTCGACTGGCCGATCGGCGTTCCGGCACCTTTGGTGGCACCGATGACTCTGTAGTGGATGGCGGTGGGGGTGGAGCCCCTCGAATGGGTGCTGCCACATAGTGAACATTGGAGTTTGATGAATTCGATGCCTGTCTCCGCGCTGGGCTAGTTGGCTTGGTTGGACGTCTGGACTGAACATCCTCCGCCGTGTCCGCATCAGAAGAGCTAAACTGTGTGGAGGACTCGTCGTATCCGCTACTGCGATTTCGCAGACGCACCGCAGGTACTTCGTGGCGTTGCAGGCGCAGGCTGTGCACCAGTCGCCGACGTTCCTCATCGTCCTGTGGCAGCTGAATCCGATCGCTGAGCTTGCGATAGCTTTGTAGCAGCCGCTTACGCTCCTCGTGATCGAGCATTTGGCGATGGCGTGCTTTGTGTTCGCGCTTCTCGCGCTCGAACAGACGCTTCTCTGCATCGAAGCGCTTGCGTTCATCCTCGAAGCGCTGCAGATTCTGCTCCAGACGACTGAGCGTCTCGCTAGTGGAGTCAATTATTCTGCCACGCGAGCTGGCTCGTGGTGCGGTGGAGCTGCCTGTAAGTTCACTCTCGCTGGACTCGTCCTTGTGCCTGGGCGAGGAAAGACTGCGATGCTTTATTAAGTTGTGGGCATCGGGACGGGTAAGTTTCTCGGCCTCGCGCGGCTGCGACTGACTGCGGGACGCTGTGCTGGCGAAGTTTTTGTCGCGGCGACGTAAAATTTTGCTCTCGTGTGCAGATAAGGCGCCTGGGGCACGTATTTGCATTCGAACCAGCTGTGGTGAGGGCTGTGGGGTCGCTTCCAGCAGTCCATCCTGGTCCTCGTCCTGCTCCTGCTGTGACCTATTCTGCCGCCCATTGGCCGACGCAGTGACGCTGGCCTCAGGCGTCTGTTCTCGGTGAGGCCGACCCATTCGTCGTCGATGGCGCGGCTGCTCCATGGCCGTAGCCTTCGATCGGTATTCCAGTTGTTTGTTAAGCGTCTAATTCTTATGGTTGTGCGTTTGTGGATTCTCTCGTACTGGCGTGCTCGCCTATTTAAATCTATTTTTAAATTTCGTGCCACTCTCCGCTCTGCTGTTGCCGCCACACGTTCATAATTTTCATTTGCCCCAAAAAGAATAAAGAATTATTCTTCATGTATGTAAAATTATATCACTTTCGCATTCGATTTCTTGGGACAGAACATATTTATAGCATTTAATTTAGTAGAGAATGCATTACGACAACACCCTTCAATTTATTTCTTTTCCTAATTAGAAGTTGATCGTACAGGTACACAGTATATAATTATATAGAAAACTATGTGTATAGAATATTTTGAGAACTTTTCACAGCCACTTTTCTATTTCATGTATTTTCCGTTTTATTTTACTTCGAACTTGGTCGTCTTGCCTGCTCGGACGCTAGCGAACTGCTGCGAATGAAAACTTTTTTTAATATTCTGTATAATTTTTTTGAAAACAGGCGGACAGCTGATTGCCGTTTATGTTTTTTTTGTGTTTCTCTTTCGATGTATGTATGTACATATGTAATACCTCATTCTCACAGATAAATTCTTAAACATTTCAATTAATTTGACGTGCAACATGAATACAAGAAAGTGCTCCTGATTAGTCTTTTTTTCTGCATATTTTTTAAATTAAAATTGTTACAGGAATTTATTTGAGTTAATTTGAATAGGCTTTAAATGGGCTTAAAAGCAATAATTTGCACACAATTTTGTGATATTTTACATTTACACGGTAAAACCATTTGTAGCATAAAACTATATTTTACTATAGTACACAACTCAAATTGGTGCGCAAATAATCTGCTTGTCTGACCGTATCTATAGATATTTTCAAATATTTTGGTTTGGTGTAGACAAGAACCGATTATCCTAATGGCATACATATTTGCTTGGTACACGACTGTACGAAAGCTTTAAGCTCCTGCGTTCAAAGCTCGTAAGCTTTTTAGACGGCCAACATAATGTCAAATTGTGCTTAAAAACTTGTAGACAATAATAGTCATAAAAGTTATACGCATTCAATTAAATAGTTCAGCATGAATAAAGAGTGGAAACTATACTTTAAATGAATGTTTTCGTTATTAAACCAAGTACTCGAATGGCGTAAAGGTATCCGTAATATATAAAGAGTAGAACGTGTAAAACCAAACTCATATAAAAGGCAGAATGAGCCTATATTAAAGGATAAGCATGACCAGACGAATCTATATAGATATGTCTGTCCACCGAGAACTTTTGGAGACTAAACTTATATTATCCAACCGTATTGTGTAAATCATATACAGCCATAAATAAGATAACCTGGTTATTTGAGAAGATATCTTAAGGCATTAGTATTAGTATTTACGAGTTTTGCATCTCAGGGATATTGTAAAGTCTCGTCATAAACGGATACTTAATCATATAGCTTCCACCCAAATGAATGGATGTGAATGGATTTTGTTCTTGGGGTGTCTCAATATAAGAGGACCGCAGTGCCTCTCCTTACCTTCCAAACATTTTCTTCCAATTATCAATTATAATTACATATACATAATATACGGTTGGATATTTCAATACTGTTGAAAACACATTGAAAATCAAATAATATAACTTGCAAGTCCTATTTTAATATATCGTAGTTGTCAGTATCCATATGAAATATTCTCATCTCATAATCCGTTAATTAACCCTCGCAGCGGCTAATACCACTATTCTCCTTGCTACATTATTCTTACTTTGGCTCTTTGTCCCAACCCATACCCTGTAGTCAAAGAGTAAAGAGACAGAAGGAGGGTAATATGTGCATCTGTCTATATAAAGTCAAGGATATCTAATCTCAAGCCAAACCGATTTCCCGTAGCTCTTGTAATTCTTGGAATTTGTTACTCAAATCGGACAATTACACCACATTAGTGCTTTAGGTCCTCAAAGTATAGTTTAGCCCATTCTTGTTTTGTTTTTCTATCCAAAGTGATTAGAAAATCTTAACAAATAATCTATATTTACCAAGCTAAGGCTTTTTAGCTTATTTGTTTAGAGGCAGAATTACAATTTACTTACTTGTATTTATTATTCAAATTGCAAATTGCATTGCGTAATAACTTGAAATACTGAAAGTGAAAATAGTATTTCATCTACGATCCAATGTATTGCATTTTCAACAAGTTCAAAATAAAAATCTAGATTTTGAAATATCCATCAGAGGCCCTCATGACGTTATATCAGCACTCAAATGTTCGCATTGATTCGCAAGATGTTGAAAGTTCGCGGCCAAATGTATTTAATGTGCAGCCAATTTCGCCAAAAACTTTTAATTGTGTTGCTATTGCTGCGTGCCTTCTTATTGGACCAACGTTGCGTATGCGCAACGTTCCTTATTCGATGACGGATCGTATTTGTTTCTAATGTAGATCGCTTTGGAATCTCATTCACACAAAGTAGCTTTTGTTTATTTTTTGTGGTGCTTCATTCGGCGTACTTAATTGTTTATAAGTGTGATTTGTTTGGTATTTAGGCATGATTCCGTATGACTCTTGTGTGCCTCTAGGGAAATATTTGATTCGAACATGTTATTATGATGATGTTGGCACTAACAGTTTTATAGCTGGTCAAGAATTATTATTGGTAACAATTAAAATTATGGGCTAACAAAACATTGTTGAGGTGTGCGCAAGCTTTGATTTATAGCAATATGATCAATTAATCGAATAAATGTATTGCTTTATTACCGATTCCGACAGACTTCAATTTCAAAGCCAATTCACCTTCCCATTTCGAGTATGAGGAAAATTAAAATGTTATTGAGACTAAATAAATGCACTTATGAACTTATCAACGTACATATCAAACTCAGTTAAGATCGTGACTAGCTTGTACTAAATGGCTAGGCTTAGTGCGTATTAGAGATAAGCGCTTCTCGATTTCCGAATCTCTTTCTTCTTCTCTCAAAATATCCCGTGAGCTTACATGCGTTTTGGGGTATGCGAACAAGATGAGTAGAGAAGCAAGAGGGGCTTGCAAAAAGCTCCGATCAGCTATTTCAGGTTTTACCCCTAAATTTGGACATCTTCAATTGGGCTGTCGATTTATGTTTATTACAGTTGTTTATCCCTAATTTGTAAGCAGTTTACTGTGTTTTTATTTAATAAAAATAATATAGGGGGCACAGAAATTGTTGGGAAGCTCTTTACCCAAATGAGTTGATTAGAACACACAAAGTCAACGATTAGTCTTAAAATTCTTGAAGAATAACATTGAGGTTTTTATTACACTATGGTAAATATTTAAAAATTACAGTTATTTAGGGATCAACGTTTGTTGTGCCTGCTTCTGTTTATGTGTGCCGCCCTGTAATAAGCCAGTGTAATACAGTTTTAGGTATACGTTTGACTTTTTGTGTTGTTCAACACCAAAAGGCAATTTTAAATATTTGAACTTTTTTAGGGGAGCAGCTCGTGATTTAAACTTGATTTAAAATAAAACAAAATTTTTAAATGCACAAACTTAAGTCGTAGATGCTTTCTTTGCTAACAATCACTCAACAAAAACAGGCCTAATTAGCTAATTAGCTCAACAAAAATTAATTCTAAGTCTTATGCAAAGTTACGTTTGTAAGAAAAACTCATTTTAAGCTGTTTTCTTAATTGTGTTTTTTACGTAAGTACTTCATATGTTATAAAAAGAATGCATAACAAAGAAGCTAACAAAGTAATTTACTTTTTCCATACAAATATAGTACGTATGTAGTATATACTTATAAGTAGTATGTACATACTCGTAAATGCAATTACACAAGACGTATAAAATATTATGTCCCCACTGCAACGTCGTACGTATGACTGATTGTGGGTGATGAAAATGTTTACCAACACATCATAAAGTTTTCAATTTTACAATCTTCGGACACGCCGAGATTTTCCATTTTAATGGCGTGGAAATTAAATCAATTTTATTGTCTGGCATCTAATTGGATTAATATTCGGCATGTGCCCAACCAAAATAAAAAATGAACGACCACTTGACCTAGCCAGGCGATGCCATTGGTTTGTCGCTAAAATCGGAACGACCACACTTACACACACACATCTACATACATATTTATATATGGTAGACGTACATTAAAAAATATGTATGTGGATGTTTTATTTTTGAATTTGTGACGCTTGGAAGATAAACATACTATATATTTTCCCCATGAATGTTTGGGCTAATTTTGACGACTTGATTACAGTCACAAACTCGCTCAAGAAACTATCACACTTCTGTTTCTAAATCGAAATACACATACACATATGTGCACATATGTATGTCATATCTAATATTTTTACATAGCTATCGTTAATTTTGGGTCGAAAATTGCCCTTTCCATTAATTGCTTCTGTGCGGCCGAGTTAAAAACATTTGCATGTTTGAAATATTTTTGGAAACTTGTCAAAAGGGGGAGAAACAAGCATACGAATACGTAATTATTTACTTGCAATACATACATTAAAATGTATGTAGTACATACATACATACAAGTATGTACGTAGGTATGTACGGGTATATGTGTACTCGACGAGGGTGTTAGCTTGCTGCCATTGCTATTTAAATAAATGTCTGTACTCTTTTAGTCTCTGTACAAAAATACATTGAGTGTTGAAAGCCATTCAGAACGTTATGAACTACAATGTTCAAATTTATGCCGCTGAGTCATGTTGAGTTGTGTTTAAATGTGGGTCCAACAATATATTTTTTTATACTTGTATGTAAAAAAGTTGGCTAGTCAACTGATAAGTTGACTGCCAAATTCATGCGAAAATGTTGTCGCATGTTACGATTTCCCAAATATTCACCAAAAAATATTTATAATTATAGTATAGTATAGTTCCTGATTGCATTTATGTAGACGATGTAAATTATTCAAAAATCCACATTCTAGATGATAAAACAACACCTTAATAATTGATAAAGGTTTTTTAATTTAGTGCAAATATTATTTGCACATTTAGGAATTATCCAAAACAGTGTTACTGGAAACCCCAAAAGATTTATCGTACTGTATCACTCTTAATATTAAACAACTATATTTCATCTTGATATACGTGTTAAAAATGAATTCAATTAGTTTAAATAAGGGTTTAATATAATATAATATACATATATAACATATATGAATCTTGACTGATCGCGAAAGGGGAGAAATGGTACCAGCATTTTGTGAACATGACAAAATATTGCTTTCGTTTAATTAAGGAAGTATTTTCGCAGTTTAAGTTAAAACCTAGGCCTTCTCTTGCCGATGTAATATTTTAAGAGTCCCTACCATTATCGTTTTTCCCTAGGCTGCCTCCTAGTATGGGACCGTTTTTATAACTAGTAGTTCAACATCTAACCTGAATCGC